CGCTTTCTTTTCTAAAACATTCTGCCCATCTGAATATTCATTGAGACAATAATTAGCGTATTTTCGTGACGCAATCGATGCATCGAAAGAATTTTGCGCGCAAATAATGATCGGTGCTGCGAGAAAGTATGCATAAACAGTCGTGGAAACATTCTCTATGTTGAAAGATACATTTGAATTCAAAGAAACGCGGTACGTGCGCGGCAATAAGCGTGCGCTCGCGAAATTATTGCTTTTCGCGTGGCTCGCGAGCGTCCCCGTTAGCCGCAACGAAGAAATTATTTACCATCCTATCGGCATTGTGCATTAAAGTCCGGTAAGGCGGATACCGAGACGGGCCTCCGCGAGAGACGGCTCGAAACTTTACTGCCAGAAGATGATCACCGTTACCGTTCACCGCAAACACGGCAATGAGCTTTGTGGTTCTTTTCTTCGCGATATTCGCCCTCTTTCTCTTTCTGCCGTCCGCTGACAAACCAGTGAAAAGAAACGAGTAACGAGGATCGTAAATCGTTAACGCATCGAAAAGAATCCCGGAAACGAGCCGTTCCGCTCGCTTTTTTCGTCCCGATGCGGACTTTCCCTACGATCGATATTCCGCACGATTTATCATCAACAACGGACGTCGCATCGGCCGCGAACGGTGTCACTTTTCTTGCTTTCTAATCCATCGCAAGAAATGATCTTCATTATACGAGGTATTCGCGATTTTTTATTTTTATTTGCGATGGAGCTCCACTGCATATCGCAGATTAATTCATTTCCCCTCAAAAAGAAGGAGAAAGAACGATCGAGAAATGCGATCGTCGAATCCCCGAGCAATCTCTTCGACTTTATCTCATATAAACGATCATTAATCACAGTTCAAGGGTTGTTACTTTTTTTCTACACCGGTAGATCCTGCTTCTACGACATTGCCGGGCGTCGCGCGACATCCGTTTATGAATCCGTGACCCTCGCGGGTCGATGATCGAAACCCTCGTGGATCAACGACCAGAGCGCGCAAGTAAATCGATCGATCAAAGGTGCGGATTCTCCGGGATCAAATGGAACGTGGCCGGTCGCGCGTGAAGGGAAGAAACGCGAAACACGCCCGACTTCTTCCGTCTGTTTCTTATCCCGGCGGCTTTTACCGCGATCGTTCTCGACCGCGTGTAGTTAAGCCGGCAATTCGGCCGTGACGAAAATGAATTTTACTTGGGAAATGCCGATGCGGCGCGTATACGATATCGCAACGAACGATACTTGACTCGCGAAATTTGCATGATCACGTGAAGTACGCAATAATCGCGATAGCCTTTCGTCGCGTCTGTTGGAGCTACAGTGGATGAGCGACGTGTAGGCATGAATTTCGTAAATCGATACCGTGAAACTGGAACGATCCGTGTCGTGCTGTGACGTAGAGAAAATTTTCTCTATATTTGAACATATAATTTGTATCTCGTAATGTTGTAACATGTGTTCCGCTTCCAACCACGGCTATAGTTGCTCCAGTTGCAAAGCAACGAAGCGTGGTTTCCATAATGATCCGAGCCAACTGGAACAAAGAAAGTATTAATATTATTTCAAAATTTGGAAATGGAAAAAATGTATTCATATATGCACAGAGTGATGTAAGAGAGAAAGCACAATAGAGTTCGGAAATGTCAATAGATTCTCTCCGCTTGTTTCTGTTTAGAAACCATATTAAAGCTTTTTCTTTCTGTATATTTCTATATTTTCCCATATTTTAGACATAAATAATATAATATATAATAATATTTCTCTATTTATTATAATGCCAAATGTAAAGTTGTTTAGCCTTCTTTTCGATTGAACAACGATTCAAAGAAAAAAAAAAATATTGTTAGTAATTATTTCTCAGTTTCTTTTTCTATACGCAAGTCCAACGTGGTTTCTAAAGTCTCTTCGTTCACAAAACCGGTTGAAATAAATGCTTTTGAGAAGCGTAACTTCGAAACCACCGCAACATTCTTGAGTGACTTATTACCAATTCTTTGTGACATAAAAGTCGACATGTTCCACATAATTCTCTACTTATTCGCACGTAGCTATTTATATGTATAGCAATAATTCGTTCGTAAAGGGATTAGCCATAAGTGCAGTCCGAGAGACGAATCGCCAATACCTTAAATGCGCCTGGTAACAATTTGTCAACTTCTGGTTCGACTGCTTGCTACCAGTTCTAAAGTTAGACACACTGAGCGCCTCGCGGCTACACGTGTATCTCGCTCGAGCATTCCTGAGGTTAACCCAGAAAATGCCTTCATGGAAATACAATGAAACAGTTTTCTCAACTCTTTGATTCGAATTAATAGTGCTTGTAAATTTCGTAATTTTTGATAAAACTTATATTAATTTTTTTTATTTTACAAGTAGTTTCTATTTTTAGATATATATTAATAAAATAAGAATAAATAAATTTGATTAAAAGTACATTAAAAAATCTCTTTAAAGACTTTGTTCTCAGATATTCACATACATTGCAATCAGTACGAAAACGCAAAATTCGAAAATGTGTTTGTTATCCACGTAAGGCGTCTTCAAAAATCAACCAAATATTGCGAATTTTCAACATCAGAATTGAAACCATATCGTTATATGCTGACATATGGACTTTGGAATTTTTATCCTAACGATTTTTTGTAGGTTTTTCTCTATCAAAGTTTAAATTCTGAAAAACATGAATGTATTAAAGATCTTTGCTTTTCATTTGCAACGTGAGTCACGAAATATACGAGTCAGAGAAGTAGAATTATGAGAGTCGAAAGGACTCGTCAGGGCGTGCCTTTCCATGTTCTTTACAGTCTTACATCAACTTTCTCCACATTGTCGGCGAGCTGGACGTTCCACGCGTCCTTCATGCCCCGCGCTATTACCATAATGCATAAAAATAATAATGATAAATATTGCCGAGCTCAAAGGGGATGATGAGAAAAATAGAGCAACTAATGTGATAACAGTAGCAATATAAATCACTATTATTATAACTGATAATAACGTGTATACATAAAAAACACATACATTCTCCAACACGGACGGACTCTCTCCGAACCTCGAGATTGCAAACCTGTCCCATCGAAGTGAATTAGCATAAGACGCGAATTGAATTCGTAATCAGTGATTCGGAGATGTCCTGTTATTATTATTACACGTACGATCAGAATTCAGGTGTGGCGACGTGCGAAGAAAATCTAATAATTTATATTCGAGAGCGTCAAAGAAATATAACGCTATTCGGCAAATTCTCCATTCTTGGCGACTCTTCGCTTTATTTTTTATTAAATGTTAACATCTAATTTAATTAATTTTATACATTTTACTTTTTAAAATTTTCTTCATTCCTCTCTTCCGACGTCTTTTCGTGGAAGTGGTTTCCGTTAACCGTTTGGTTGTTTTACTCGCGAGTCGAGAATTAACATAAATCGTGAACGGAATATCGAGGCCCGGATTAACACATGCACGCTGATCGCGATCGTGACGCGGGCGGGTCGCTCGAAGCCAGATGCGGAGAGGCGTGTGCCAGACGTTTGCGTTAGTCGTGACACTTTCGGGGCACTTGATTGCCGAGCGATGATATCGACAACGGTAACGGTACGGCTTTCCGTATGAACGCGCGCGTTGTCGCGAGAACCTCCCGGGCAACGCGGCGCATCCCATTGTCCTCTCCTCGTCGCGATCGCGTAACAGATCTTCCGGCCACGAAGACGGCAATTTGACTTTTGCGCGCAGCTGCGCGCCCGAACGTACAGACTCGTCCCATTACATAAAAAAAAAGAGTACGTGATTAAGAGCGTTAAAATAATTACGTTATCCCACGCTATCATTATGTAATATAGAATATGCGCATTCGCCGAGAATGTTGATGTCAGCGGCCGGGGAATAAAATAGTTATTATCCCACGACCGAGCGCAATCCGCGCGTCCGATTTCCTCCGAAGGTTCTCACGCTCGATTATATCCGTGCCGAAAATTCGCATTTTGTCCAAAAGGACGTGGGGCTCATTCCTACTTCGAGTATTGTTCCTCGAAGAAATGACAGTGCAAAATGATGCCGGGAAGAGGAAAAATCTTTTGTAAGGCGAGGCGAAGTCATTCCAGAGCGAAGTCTCTCCCTCGCGCTCCCGTTAATGATCATCATTTACCCGGTGTCTTCGTGTCCTACAGCGTCCCACATCGTCGCCCCGATGTTGCACACGACCTTTCCAGCATATATCCGCGGGAAGATGGATTCCCGGTGTCATTAGCAAAGTGTCCCTGTATTCAGCTTCACCTCGAGCCCCCGAGTCATTCTCGGTCCATCTTCCTCTTCTCTCCTTGGAGACCCCGCGCGGAATTCCTCCAAGACTCCTCCACTTTGCCGCCACTATCTCCGCTTCCTCAGCTCGCCATGCCATCCTCCTCGTGCCGGCGCGCGGTACGCCAGGTGTGGTCATTAATTTCACAGCGAGGTGGAAAAAGATCGGCGGGATACGAACAAAGGTACCGGAGTCGCTCGCTTGCTCGTCCGTCCGTCGAAGCGAGAGGGGGAGGGGGAGGGGGAGGAGGAGGGGGGAAATGGGGATCTTTGCGAGACAATTACTCGCGAAGGTGAAATAAGACCGCGATGGTGTTACAGCGACGCATCGCGAACGGATGTAGCGCCGACGGGAAAATATACGGAACGAGCAGCGAGCGGACACGAAAGAGATATTTCAAGGTATCTGAATAAAATTCTCGATGCAAATTTAATGGAATAAAAATATTTAAACATCTCGAGAAAAGATACTGCGGCGAGGGTAAAATAAAGGTATCTCATTTAACGAAACCATTTTGCGAAATTAATTGGACGACTTCGAAGTGATGCAGCTTGAAAATTTCCGCCGGTCGCACGCGCGTTTCGAATTTTACTTGACGAGAGCTCTTGAAAAGAATGACGAAATTCTTGCCGGCTGTTTTCGTTCGCCGTTTGCGAGTGCGGCGCGACGTTATTTATATGCGTCCTTTTTACGATGCCGACAGGTCGGGCGGCTCCTCCAGCGCGTCAAGTGCTGGCACGGGATCATCGACCGGTGGAGGTCCTGGGAACCCGGCAGGAGGCGGCAGGATGGCCGTCATCGGCGTGACCAGAAACGTACGTCTCAGGCGTCGCGGCAACGCCGGCTTCGGATTCTCGTTACGGGGCGGACGTGAATACGCCGCCGGCTTCTACGTCAGCGATGTCCAGCCAGGTGGCGAAGCTCACAGAAATGGATTAAGGGTACTTATCTTGAATTGCTACTGTTTTTCTCCGGCGTCAAAGTACAAGAAAATACGCGTTACCTCTTTTTTTTTAGAAATTTACATTATGCGAGATTTTTCGCGATGCTTCAGCCGATTTGAAAATTAATTCAATGCGATTATACGCGACTAATTAATGTAAAAATTACGAGGAATCTGTTGTCTATCATAATTTTGAAATTTGTGATCTCACTTTCGCCCTATTGTTTTCAGGTGGGCGACCAGATCTTAAGGGTGAACGGTTATCCGGTGGAGGACGCCGTGCATCAGGAAGTCGCGCTCCTGGCGAAGAACCAGCAAGTCCTGGTTCTCAAAATTCGAAGTAACTATCTCGTCTTTATCTTAATCATCTCCGCCGCGAAGTATTGCGCGCGTAAATCTACGCAGAACAGACAGCGAAGCGATTGAAAAGAAAAATAATTAATAACAGTAATACGCGCTGCGTGCGCAATAATCCCTATCTCGTTTACTGATAGCGGGAATTTATGGCTCTCGATTTATATTGCAGGTGTGGGGATGATACCAGTAAAGGAGTAAGTATCGAAATTTAATTAAAACCTCGCGCGGACCGTACGTACATTGCGTACGTACGTACGCGCATTGCGTACTGGCGATCGGCATTCTGTCGTTACAAAAATCCTTTATGATTCGCAAAGCAATCCAAACGATCCGGTTACCTGGCACATGGTGCAGCAACAGCAACAGCAGCTGCAGTACAACGAAACTGGTTTAGGCGGTGTGCCGAGTGCAGAAGTTAGAATTCGGATTCTCGTCGGCGAGAAAGGCCGTCTCGGATGCGGCGTTTGCAGAGGCATCGTGCCTGGTCTTACCGTCCAGGTTAATAGCACCCTAATTGGACATAATTATGTCATGTACAAGCAAAACCGGCATTCTCGAGATTTTTACTTCTGTACTGCAAAGCTTATTCCGCTTGAAAAAATCACAGTTATTCTGCAAAGAAATTTGACCTTGCTGATTTAAATGCACGAGCCTTGTGTGTTTTAACATGTACAGCTATATTCAATATTAATTTTAAAAATATAAACACTTAAGATATGATTACGAACGTTGTTCTAATTGTAAATGTCAAATATTTTTTTGCGTTTAGATAAATTTAAAAAAATCTATATATTTACTCTTGCAATATAATTTAAAATTAAAATTGATAAATTTAATTTTTATCGATAAACTTATATTTTCTAATTTTTTACTAACAAGGGAATTTCGCAAATTTGAAAATTTTAATTTTGATGAAAAAAAAACTTTACACACGTAAAAAGCAAAAAGCCGCTCTACATATAAGGGGTAGTTTCACCCCCTAAAATAGTTTTGGAGCAGCAGCTGAAAATTTCTAAATTCATCTGTTTACTCCCTCCCCTTACATGTGTGTAAAGTTTCATCAAAATCAGAATGTTCGGATTCGCGAGGCTTCCTTGTGAGTCACTTTCATAATTACTGGCACATAAACTCGAATAAAGTAGCAGAATTCAGCCGCTTCAAACTTTTACGTCTTTAACTGAGTATCCCGCAAAATTAGCGAAACAAATATTCATTTTATTGATTAAAAAAAACGCACATTTAGGGCACGAGGGAAGGCGGGCCGGCGCGTGCGGCGGGTCTGAAGGCCGGCGACGTAATAATCTGGTGTAACGGTCAACGACTCATCGATCTGCCGTTCGAGAGGGCCATCGAGGTGATGCGCAGTTCGGCAGTCCTCGACCTCGTGGTGCAACGACCCACGCCTCCCAATCACCTTTACGACTGTCCCGAGCCACTGTGGACGCGCGGCTCCAGCGGTTACGACTCCGAGACGTCCAGCGTGGTGGCCGCGAGCTCGCCCTCCCAGCATCCGAACAATCCACCGACGTCACCGCAGCACCATCACGACGGCAGGATGCATCAGCGGTATCCGCGCGATGACGCCTGCAACAGAAACGGCAGGTCAGCAAACGTTCTAATGGTACACGCGAAAAGAAAGATGGAAATCAATTCTTCCTAGGGTTTTGTCTGATTAATTTCGACACATTTCATACGATTGTGAACAAAATGTGAATATACGATCGCGAGATTACAACGCAGCGTGCCAATCGTCGATTTTTCCAAGCGCCACTGATCGCAATTACCGATCGGTGTCGCTTATCGTCGTGCGAATCACTCGTTTTGCGACGCGCAAAGAGCAGCTGCGTGACTATCTACGATACTACGCAGATACGCACGTATCTCTCGGCGGTCCTCGACCGTTATCGAGTGGCATCAATGAATTTACGCCGGGAGAAAGTCGGTCCATTAATAGGACACTTGACGATAACGATCGTAGAGTCGGCCGCCGCTTGAATTCCTTGCCGCCACGTAAACATTCATCCTGTTCCTCGTCCCCCCCCCCTCTCGGTGTGCTCTCACCGTTCGGTAAAAAAGCGCGTCCCGCGAATACCGTTCTTTAGAAATCGGTATGGACTCTCTTGCATAATCAAACACACATATAAATCTTGCTTTATTTCCGGGTGACGTTATAGAATATGCTGTCCTCTCGCCTTATCTACCAGCAGTTGCAGTTCCTCCTCAGAGTGGGCGCACGTAGATCAGGTAATGAACGAAAATAGCTCATTCCGTAGTTATGTAATGTAGAATTAACTTCGGATATCGTCTCTCTCATTGCGCAAAATTGATTCTTCAAGCAATTAGTACTGATCATGCTTTACTCTCTAGCTTTGTACAAAAAGTAACTGTCGAATTGTCTTGAATTCTATTCAGAATAACATATTACATTTTCTCTAAATATCGCGGTTCCATATGTATTATTAATTAATTAATTCCGTATTGTTAATAAAACGCGATGACCATAATATGCTAAGATTACGAATACGTATGTACACAGCTTTTACTTTCTCTTCAGTTTTGTTTTTGGCATATTGTGTTTTTTTTTAAATACGACATCGCTTAAAAGCGGATATGCAACTCGTTATTGGCCGTCTAATCTGACCGTTTTCTAGGCACAGGAATGGTCGCGAAAACCGAATAACACGACCGTGATTCGTGTTAATCAGAGCTCGAACCAGAACCAGAACCAGAATCACCGGCCGATCCCGGGCGAACAGTATCACTTCAACTCGCGGGGCAATTACGAGGATGACATCGACAACGAGCCGCTCTACGATCCCGTGGCGCCCAGGATCGATTATGAGGTCCACGATTTCGACGCCAATCCGCGAGACGAGGCCAATCGGCGGCTGGCTTATCGGCGAGATAACGCGCGGCAGCAGGATGTGATTTATGACGGCCCGGCGGACGATCTGCCCGCGTACCACGGCTCCAAAGTAAGAGGATTTCGCATTTTGCTTGAACTCGCCGATCTGTTTTCGTTATCGAGTCATTTCTCACGATAAAATGTTAAATGCTCGTTAGGCGATTGTGTAAACCGCGAGCCGAATTAAATAAAGATACGTTAATGCGTGGTGAATAATTTTGCGCCAGGAGAACGGCCAAGCGGTCGGTAATCGATTGGCGGACCTGCAACTCATGCAGAGGCAGAGCGAGGCCGAGAGGAAGACGATAACGACCGTAGAGGTGCATCAGTCAGTTTGTCCACCTGCACCCCCGCCGCCGCTTCCTTACAAATGGCCAGCAGGTCTGACGACTTCTCTCTCACGTCATTAGAATAATAACTGGACGTGTGGCGTTCTCTCTCGCCCGAGCGCCGCGCATCTCGCAGCAAATTCTCCGACTACTATCGATCCGCCCAGAAACATAGTTCTTGAAAGATTGAAAGTTTCACACAAAATTCTTTATTTCTTTAACGTGTGAATATAAAATATTGTTCTTTTTCTCAAAAGAATTAAAAGTATTTTCTGTTATTATCGATATTATCGATAAATCGATCTAATTTATAAATTTTCTTAATTAAACAATTTATTTTTGTGCAAATTTTTATTTAATATCCAAGCGGAGAATCCGCTTCTAATGTTTTGCATAACAGTCACGAGTCATCGTCTACATCATCTACCGTTACAGAAACAAAACCGATGAACGCCATGGGCATGCAAATGGGCAGCACAATGTCGATGGGCAGCACCGGCTCGACGGAGACCGAATCGAGCCTCGAGTCGTCCTGCAGCAAGGACTCCGCATCAACATCGTCGTCGCTGTCAACGTCGTCCTGCGAACCGGCGTCCACCATGTCTTACGGATCGGCGACCGGCGGCGGGTCCAGCAGCATAGCGAGCAAAACCACGGAGACTTCAACGGCCGCATATGCGACATCGCGCAAGGATACCGTCAGGACATCGCCGATCGCCAACACCGATCTGGGCACCGCTATCACGCAGGAATTGCAGAGGCGGGCGCAACAGGTAAACCGAGCGACGTCGAACAGGAAATTGGCATTTCAACTGCACAACTCGATTTTTCCATAATAAATTTATGATAAGATGACAAAAAATGATTCAAAAGAATTGTGATTAATAGGAAAAGGGAAATGGGAATTAAGAATTTAAAAAATTACTTCCAGGAAATCTAGAGCCAAGCCTGAATGAAAAGCTAGCTAAAGATTGAGTTCTTATAATTTATTTCTAACGTAACATATATACGTGTTATCATATGTACAGCGCATGATATTGCCTGTTTTTTCTTCTTTTAAATGTATTTGTAATTTTTTCCTATATATTCCTGTTGCGCTGATATCTGGCGATCAGTTTATCTATAATGCGTTTTATGTTAGTTTTTTATGGTATCGCGATGAAAAATAATAAAGATTATCAAGAAGTTTGAAGTGCTCCGATCATGTTTTGCGATACAACGTACTGTAATTTTTATTGTCAACTGATAACTATATTATCTATTTGCAGATGAAAAATAAGTTTCTTGATACTCTAGTTTCTTGAGAACTTTTCTATTTTTTATGTTTCCTATAAATATCTTTCTAAAAATATCAAAGATAAATGAACATTGAATAAAATCACTTTACATTTGTTGCAATGTATTTATCTTGCAATCGATCACATCTACATTTTGCTTAATTGTTCGTTATTTCTAATTATTTATTACTCACATATTCGCAGAGGATGAATAATGCCGCTAAAGCGGAAGCACCAAAGGACAAAGCTCCAGACAATCGTAAACCTCAGAATCCTGAAGCTCTAAGGTCGCAGGAGCAAAGAGTCACACACGATAAGGTTAACTGCTTGCAATTTCACATATATTTAACGAGCATCGCCTCACTTTATACAATATTACAATAAAATCGACGTTTATTTTTTCTTACAGCTGATGGAGGAATTTAAACGTGCACACCAAAAGATGTTCAATTCTGCTCAGCAAAAGGCGCAGTCCTCGGATCAAATTTCTGAAAAGGTAATAAAAAATTATTCATAAATAAACCATTTATTTTGAAAATTATGTAATTCAAACTTTATAAGTTAATAGATTAAATTTATTCAATAACTGCTAATGGAAAAATCCACAAAAAATTATTTTAAAAATTTTATTGGACTTTATAAAAATGAAACTCGCGAATTTATTCGCCTATCTCGTGGAACTCGAAATATATGACACTTTAACTTTCATATGATAACAATAGTCTACCTGACGCCAGTCTGGTATACCGTTCAGTGATAAGCGGTATCTTTGAGACCGATTAATGCGTAACGTTTTGCACGTTGTAACTGCAAGCATGCCTTGACAATATAAATATAGATGTGCTTGTTGTTTTATCATTAATAAAGAATTAACTGAAAAAAAATTAATAAATAAAAGATGAAAAATGTAGAGTTGCGAACATTTTAATTTAAATTACAATTATGTAAATTTAAAAAAATTAAAACAACATAAATTTTAATAAATTGTGATTAAAAAATTGTTAAGCATATATTTTAAGTAATTATATTTAATAAAATGAGGTTGCGAAAGTTGCTTGAAAATATACATACAGGATGTTCACTCATTTTTATATGAAGTTGATTTTGTTTTAATAAGAAATCAAAAATGTATGACGGAAATTCGAGTTTTTTCACTCGAGTGTTTTTTTCCTGTTTGATGAATTTTTAATGTGCCTTTTACGAGACGCAATTACCAGGCGGCTCAAGTAGCGTGCTCTTAATTACACAACAGTATAAGCAAAGATCCGCCGGTGTAAACAGATAAGAGCACGAAAATTATGAAGACTCCGGAGTAGTCACCGTCAGTGTGTGTGTGTGTGCGCGCGGGTTACACAACAATGTACGCGCATGTTTCACGCGTGTGTACGTATTGCTGACGCACCGACACGTTGACCTGCATGTACATACGTAAGGCACACTATTGGTCGTGACGTTCAGCAGTATTGTTGAAACAAGGAGAGATAGCGAGCGGTTTGCGCTCGAAGTCACGCATTTTCCGATGTTCTCTCTCAGTTCTTGTATTATCGCCCAGCGGAGAGGATTCGCAAGCGACATTCGCGAAAGCGCAGATTAGTTTTAACCACGGAAGCAATATATTAGCAAACCAATTGTCAATTGTACGAGTGTGAATTGCGGTCACTTCATTTTTTTCATTCGTATCACCTTCGACAGTTATCGTGCGACGGAAATATATTTAACAGTTCCAACGATAATAATGCGAATAATAATATTATACATACACGATGGAAAACTAAATTGATGGCTTCTTGCATATCGATTGTTGAATGCAGCATTTATTCAACTAAAGTGTTAACATTTTGTTAAGTCATCGCTGGTTAAATCTTATCTTGTTTTTTATTTTTATTTTATTTTAGTTTTCTTTTTTTTATCAGTTTGATTCCAGAATTGGTTTATGTGTCTAATTCTTTTGCTTCAAGAAAAAGCGATTTGTGCTAAAATTATGGAATTATAATGTTTTTTATCTTTGATAGAAAAGATATGTTATTTGCAATATAGAAGATTTGTTTTATTTTTTTCCACATTTATTGTTAGAATTGTTTTTCTATGATTTCCACGCATTCTCTGTTTCTCTTTGAGCGGTAGGAAAACCTGTGCGCATTGTGTAAGATGTTAGAATTTATTGATTACTACAAGGATAAATTACTTTTAATATGATTAATGATTTGAAACTGTCGAGAAACTTGTCGTAAATTAATGACCATTAATTGTTTGGAGCTCTATTACTTTATTATTTAAAAAGAAACTGTTATATTTCAAAAATCTGTAAATTGCCGGGAATAATGACGATTATCACATGCTGAAATGTATCAGAAAAAGGTGATTTCGCACAACAGAGACACATCTCTCACTTAGAAAGTAATTCAGATATCATTTTTTACTGTCGTCATCATCAACAAATTTCTGCCTTTCTTTCATCTTTTAATAACCGAGCGCTCAATAATCAATAACTTGATTAGCGGCTTGTTGCCGTCTTATCATTTGTTAATCGTTATCGGAATATTCGCGGATTCAATCGCCATCGCCAGGAGCGACGATCGCGACTTTGTCATGCGCGACGCGTCCGATATCGGGATTGTAACGCGAAACGCCAACGCGGCTCTCTTGTGCCACATTTTTTCTTCGCTTCGACAGTTTTCTACGAATTGCAGCAGACGTGCAAAATAATAGGGCTTACATAAGAGTACCGGCGTAACACACGCTCTTGTCACCGCGCTTCTTCGTGTTTCTTCAGTTGTCCGTCGTCGTGTCGCGCGATCGACGGCCCGCGAAATACCGCAAAACGCGAGGTCGCCGTGCAATCGTAATTAGAAGAAAATAAGGCCGCACGCGGAGAGCGCGAATATAGCGAGGAGTAGCAAACGCTCACTGAAAGCGCATGGTGAACAAAATTTTTTCATCGACAATCCTCCTGAGAAGTGACAATAAATTAAGGCTTAAAGCTACAAATTTTAAAATATAAGTTTTAAAATGATACGAGTTTAAGCGAAACGTTAAGTAACATCATTTGAATACACATCCGGCAAAGATACTATTTTTACCTTGATCGTTCTTCGTGTGTGTAGAATAATTGACTTTAATAGAGGATAATATATGGCTGCTCAACGTGTTGACTGTAAAAAGTGCAAGCGAAAAAAGGACCATAAATAATTGACTCACGAAGAGGTGAAAGGTTGGATGTATTAAATTGCGCCTGTTGTTATATACAATCTAAACATTCAAAGTGATGTATGAATAAGAAAAAGTTCAAAGACAAATCATATAAGCGACACAATGAGGAAGAAACAAGCATTGGTTACGATCACTCCTTATAATGTTAGTAATTACGCATAAATTATTTAGCATTAGTCTATAATTTAATTTAGGAGTTAACACTCCTATCTAAAGTTAAATTATTAACGTACTAAAAAAAACGTACCTAATTCTAACGTGTTAATACATTAAAAATGTATTTTAATTAAAAATACCAAATTTTACTAATTTATAAAAATCTAATACTAAAAAGTACATCAATTAACATTATTATTATATTTTCAGGAACAAGAAAAAAGAGTGCTCAATGAAACGCCGACAGCGACGGCGACAGCGACGACAACGACGGGTCTTTTGGCATCGCCGCCGGCTCCTCCGCCGCTTCCACTGCCGTCTAAAAACCGAAGCAACGACGATGCGGTAGAGATGCAGAGCATCGAATCGTTCAAATTGAAGGAGACGCCGAGCACGGTGCCGAAGCCACCGCCGACGTACTTTCCGGTGACGAGCCCATCGTCGACCGGTAGCCCGCGTCACATCGGCGCCAGTAAGATCGCAAGTGGCAAAGACGTCGCGACGAGTCCAGTCGCGGAGCTCGCGAAAACACCGTCGTCAGTCTCGCCGACCAACAGCGTTCAGCCTTCGAGGCAATCCGGTGGCAAGGTGGCCATCAGAATAGGGGCGTATGAGGGTGAGACCAAGCAGCCGTCCAGGCTGGAATTCTTGGCACAGCAATCAGGTCGCGAAAAGAGCAGCGTCGCCGACGCAGAGACGGCCAACGGTCCGGTCGTCTCTAGGCTGCAGAACGAGCTCGTGGCGACTCTACAGAGGTCAAATCTTAGAAGAAAGACTGAAGGGGTAAGCGAATAGTAGTACAATAGAGTCACAACGGAGAAGAGAAATAAAATTTCACGAAAGAAAGAACAAAATATAGAAATTAAATTAAAGAAGAGTAAAGATACAATTGTTATAAATTGTAGTCGACAATATTTCATGTTAAATTTTTCCAAAAACTCCAGGAAAACCAGTTGCCCGTGAAGACTATTCCCGAGAACGCTGCGACATCCAGCAACGATACAACGAATTCAGAGCCGCACAAACTTCTGCAGGGCAATGTGGAGAAGCTCGCGTCTGTCCTCAGCAACAAAGTCACCATCAAAGTGAATCCGGAGAATAGTAGTCGATAAGGATTCAATCGAGTTGAAAGAATATGAGCGCAGAGGTATACTATGTTGAGTCACATTTTTTCGAAAATTGAGTTATTGTTATCTACTCTATACTTCAATGTTTCACCTAAATGTTTTCAATGAAAATAACGATGTTGATTGTATAAAGTTAAGTCACAATGTGATAACACATTCACCAGATAAATAGTATCATTACAAAAAAAAAGAAATAATATCTATCAAAAAATTACCTTTTTTAAAAAAAGGTAAAAAAAAGACGTCAAGTGCACGCTTTTGTCACAACTAAAACAAAACCGTACCTATTGTTTTACCTTTCAAAAAAATTGTCGTATATATTAAACCTTCCAAAAACCTGTCATATATTAAAACCTTTCAAAAAAAACTTGTATATATTAAAATTTTCAAAAAAGCTATTATATATACTTTCTACAAAAAAATATGATATCAGGAAATGGCACCAAGTGGGACTAAAGAACTATGAAAAAAGTTGTACACTATTTCTATAAAACTCTTCTATAAAATTCTACACTACTGTGTCTCTTGATTAGGTTCACATTAAAATCACATGTCGTAATCACAAAACTTTATTTTCTGAAACATATCGAAGTTTGATATATCTGCGAATACAAAAAAATATGCAAAACATTATAAGTACTTTACTAAGAACATATTAAAAACGAAAAATCTCTTTAGATCCTTTTTCCGAAAAATTATGTTTATGTGACTTAACATAGTACACCTCTCTGTGCTCATATAGAAATAATCTTTCGTAAATTTTGTACATTTTTGCACGTTTTCGCTAACCATTTCGATTTTATTGTAAGCGAAAGAGCGCTCCCCCTATTGGTGAGGTTTTACACGTACATACATGTTTTTTATATGTTATTTATTATCGTATTATATACACCGAGTAAAGAGTAAAGAAGCTAATTCTTATTAACCGAGACGAGGTTTTACGACCAGTATTTACCACGTAGTCTTTGAATGTAATCTACTGCGATCGCGACTATGTAAGAATCTTAATGGAAAATTCGACGTAACGTTGAATTTTTAAATAAAAACAATGATATGCAACGCTTAATCATTAGTTACTTATCAATCTTTTAGAGGAAATAAACATTCTAGGATATAAAATTCATGAAGCACCTGAGGAAAAGCGGTTTGAAAACTGTCAAAAATTAAAATTAATGTAATTTCTTCAACAAACATAATAGCTAAAAATTAATTTAGCAGCCTCAGTTTTCATAATCCTAAATATATCAGTCATCCTTTAGAAAACATTTCGTGAGAAGTTGCTCGCGAACGATAGTAAGTATTTCTCTCTGACGTTTTGATCGAAGAAACATTATTCCAGCGCGGTTAAGCACTGACAAGTAGGGTAACATTTGTACGCTTCAAAAATTCTTCAATCGTGCAGAATCTCACAGATGATACGAGTGCCGCGATATCATTCTCTTCCTTCCGTGAGAAAAGTCATCAATGAATGCGTCGTGTAAAGCGAGGTTGCACGGTCGCGATGCTCCGCAAAATAACAGGATACGCAGGCTACTGCTATCGGAGTACTGCGAGTTCTCCGAGACAATTCTGGTGGAGTCGCCGTTCGCGGAGACCACGAGAAACGGATGTGGACTGCGCCAGGTCACCTTGGGCCTCACGCCGACCAGGCTGATCGTCGCCGCCGACGTTCTTCAAACTAATCCCGGCTTCCTTTGCCCGCCTGGTATCGATGTCAGTATCGAGAGTTTCGAGCTCGTGTCCGTGTATCCTCTGGAATACGTTACGCTCAGTGTGTTCAGAAGGAGACGCCGTAGGACTCTAAAGGCAAGGTACCCATAGAGAACAAACCTTGCAGCTATGTACACGTGTATTCCTTCAATTCCCGAAACTAGAGGAGAAACTCACACTACCGATACTCAAGAAGAAAATAAAAAGACACGTAAAATGTTTAAATTTATTTTTTAAATTTATTTTTAGTGAAAAAGTAAAACTCACGCTTGTGTGAAATCGTCGTATTTGAAAACGCTATGTTAACTGATTATAAATTTATTATTTTTAGATTTATAAATGGTCGCGCGAATTATTACGAGCTCGGTGGTGTGCGGCGGAAATTTTTTTGGAGAATTTGGTGCAAACGGGTACAGAAATTATTAGAGTCCAAGATGGACGGTAGCTCGTTGTCGGAAACAACGGCGGCGAGCTCGTCGAGCAGCAGCGCACTGTTCTTACTGTCGTCCGAGATCGAAGTTACGAGCAATTGCAACGCGAGAGGCAGAAAACCGATATTCAGGTACTAATCAGCGTGAACTGATTCTCATCATCATTATTATTTACAGAAACTAAACATTTAATTTTTTTATTATTATATACAAATTATGTTTAGTAATTACATTCATTATATAAATTACTCTTTATTTATATCATCAAAGTCGATTTTTGCTTATCAGAAACGCACTGATTCCGATTTACGAGGTACTGTGTGCATATAGTATAGCGCGTTTAAAAATAAATACGTAGAATATGGACGCATTATGGAGGCGCCGGTGATTACGTTGCTCCTACATGGACCGAAAAGGACTTGTATCTCGGGCCATCTTTTAACGAACTGGTGAACGGCCATTACACGCCGATTCCAGTGCGATTTGCTGGAGCCAGTTTGGAAGATTTGAGATACGAGCTAGAGGATCGTACGTCGTGCTACATCGCCTGCAAGAAATCTTGCCACAGCTGGCCTTGTCACATGAAATTTGATGGTCAGGCAAAATCGCAACGTGTTGGAGGACTGTGTAACGTTCTTTTCGCAAGAAATCGTAATAGACGTTATTGCACAAGTTGCAAAGTTTCATCTTGCAACACCTGCCAATTAGATGACAACGTTGGCATTAATATTCTTGGAAAGCACAGTCGATGTCACGGTTAGGGCAGATTTTTATTTATTTACATAAACAGTTTAGAAAAATCTCAATTTTTTTTTATTATAAGATAAGAAACTAAAATAAAGAATTTGTAAGGAAAATAAATAGAAAAAAATTAAATAATGAAAATAATAGATTTAATAAATTAAATTTAAAAAAATGAACTAAATTGTGTATAAATGTATTCAAATGCAAATATTCTCATTTGAGGACAATATAAATATTGAAAAATTTTCAATTTCTAGAATGTCAAAGTATGCTTGCCGAAAAAGAGTTTATAGAACACATGGAAAAAAAATACGGGAAAATCCAACAGCACCATCAGAAACCGGCAGCGTCTTTAACGTCGAAAGTATCGCGTTTTGGCTTGGGTGTCTCAGAAAAATGCAATTCCGAATTAATCTTGGGACCTTATCGAGGTGATTCGAACTACGTCCCCAGAATTGCGCATCACCTCGTCGATCCTTACACATTAATCGAGAGCGGTGTGACGGTCTGGGAAGATCATTGCAGATCTTTGAAGAGTCAAAGGCATCCACGAAAATACGCTTTCTCTTCAGCGGCGCAGTTCTTCCACGCTCTCGGGCCATGGTCGGTCCAGCCTGGAGAACGCGAATCCGTGCAGACTTTCAGATCACCGAGCGCGGTGAACATCCGTAGGCAACCCTCGGATCCAGAGCTGAGGCTTCCGGTTTCGCGCCGTCAACTGACGGCAAGCATCTCCTGCGCCGCTTTGACTTCCGGCGGAGCCAGCAACATTGGTACAATTACTAGAGGACGAGTGATACTGTTCTGGACACCAGAATACTGGTACAGACCTCAGGCAGCAGCGGCTGCTTACAGGTAATACAAAAAAATCTGCCGTATCTACAAATATATGATTTATATCTCAGTTGACGAGAGATTTCTCTGCTTAAGGGGATCCTAAAGTGGTCTGTTTTACCTATTTTTTTCAAATACACTTAACTTTTTTTTGGCTGAGTAGAATGAAAAGTCCTTTTCTGCAAGTAAAGTACATATGCTAATACACTACGGATGGTCGATTTGAAAGAATTTTTCAAGCCACGCAGCCAAAAAAAAAACAAATTGTATGAAAAGTAGAAGGTAAAACAGAGACGTTTTCTGTTTTACCTTCTATTTTTTGTAAAATTTGTTTTTTTTGGCTGCATGGCTTGAAAAATCCTTTCAAATCGAC